GAGAGAGAGAAAGGATGCACACAAACTTACTGTCTTACACAAAGGGTCACCAACAGGGTAGATGGAGCTTCAGACTCACGCACACCTTCTTGGACCATGACTCCCACACCTCTACCACACTCACCTTCACAGAGTAGGCATAGGCAATGAAACCCAGGCAGCAGAAGTTCATGAAGAGTGCATTGAACAGGGACCAGACCACATGGTCAGGCACAGAGACCTCTCTGGGCATGTTGATCACGGTGGTCCTGACAGAAGCTGAGCCATGGGGTTCCCCCAGCTCAACCACCCCATATTCCTCTTTGATTCTCTCATAGCTTGGGGGGAGTCCGGCGCTGGTGCTCAAGAAGGCTTGGGAATTGGGGTTCATGGTGCTGACTCTGGAACAGTCACCCTGTCTGAGCGATTGCAATGGCGCAGCTCCGCCTGCTCCGTGGGGCAGCCCTTTGTCCAGCAGTTTCGATTTCGCAGAAGTTTCCTTTTCCTGTTGGTGGGTTTGTCTCGGGAAGACCTTATTGAGAATTGGCTGGATACTGAAGGGGGCGGCACTAAATTCTGAGGATCAAATTACACCAGGGTAGAGTGGCTGGAAGGGCTGAGGATCAAGCCAACTCTCTGGGGTCAAAATTTGTTCCTAGGCCCCCACCTCCTCCTTAGAGTGGAAGTCCTGAAACTTTCTCCAGGTCTGGGAGTCTCCTCAGCTCAGACCAACAGTTGCAGCATCTCCTTGTGCCTGTTCAGAGCCATGGCCAGGCCTTACACAGTCTCCATTCTCCCAGTCTTCAGTGCCCCTAAGTGGGGGCCTTCTCTGATGAAATCCATGCCCTTTCTGGATCGGGGGGCGGGGGGAGGGTACTGAGGCTAGCTGCTTCTCCAGTTGTGGGGGAGGGAGATGCCTTCCAGCCTCTGGCCTGGAAGCCACTGGCTGGCTGAAGAGGAACTCCATTTGGAGAGTGGAAAATTCCACTCACTTGGCTGCTGCCTGGGAGCCCCTGAAAGGCAGATGTTTTCCTGTCAGTTGTGAAACAGCCACTGTTAAAGAGAAGCCTGCAGGAGAATGGCAGTATAGGAAGCTCCAAGTCCGTCCAAGTGACTGTCGGAATCAGAGTAAGTTCTTTTGTGGCGAAGGACACATAACAAATCATTTGCCATTCTAACCAATCCAGTGAGCTGCTTTTCCAAATTCCAGTGCAGAGTAGGACGGTAGGCCAGATGGAGAGGCATGAACAAACCTGCCAGAGCCTCCTGTTCACCCCTCTATCATACCTTAACCATCAGAGCCTCAAAAGTTGGAGTAGGGTCTGCTCTGCTCACTGCCATCTGCCTGGGTGAGGAGATTCAGAGGGCATAATTCTGGTGGGATGTGCACCCAGGAAGGAGGCGGGAGCCAAGTCTAAGTTTCACACTTTGGGGTGTTCTTCATTCAGTCAGGAAAAGAAATAACTGAGGAGGGACAAGATCCAAGAGGAAACAAGGGGCCACAGAGCAGGTTGGTGACAACAGCCTGTGGAGCCTTTGGGGGTCTACCAATGTTACTGGAGTTACAAGGTTCAGAGCCTGTGCTCTGGCAGTGCTGACAAGCTAGCCTCAGCCAACCAGCCTCAATAAGGCCATTAAAGAAACAGAAATCACTGAATATATTTGTTGCATCGAAAAAGTTGTGTGGGTTTTTTTTTTTGCTGGTATTGCTTTGTTATTTTTTTAGACAGAGTCTCCCTGAAGCCCCACCTGGCCTGGAATTAGCTATATAGACCAGGCCTGGCCTTGATTTCACAGAGATCCACATGCCTCTGCCTCCCAAGTGCTGGGATTAAAAGCATGTACCATCATGCCCTGCAAAATGTTATTATTTTTTAATTAATTTTTTAAAGTTATTTTTATTTTATGTGTATAAATGTATTTCCTGCATGTTTATAAATTTACCCATGTTGTACAATGCTCATGGAAGTCAGAAGAGGGCATCCGATCCCCTAGAACTGGAGTTGCAGACAGTTGTTAGCCACCGTGTGGGTGCTGGGAATCAAACCCGGGTCCTCTGCAAGAGCAGCCAGTACTCTTAACCACTGAGCCATCGTTCCAGTCCATAAATTTTATTTCTATACATGAAATAAAGTATGGTATTTTAAAATAAATAAAATAAAGGGACAAAGTAATAGTGAAAAACTGGAAAAGGGGATTGACTCAATGTGCCCACTGTGAGGCAGTGATGAGGACAGGAGATGGAACCTGTCTAGGCAGTATAGGAATGGGGACCCCAAAAATAGTAGTTTCAGGAGTGTTCTTGCCAGAAGGGAGCTCTGGTTTCTTATCTCTTCCTAAATAAGCATCCCTGCCTGGAGGCTATACAGGGACAATGTGACTAAAACTCTAGTCCAGTCATTAATCCCTTCTGGTGACAGCTTTGGAATTAGATCTATGGATTTTCATGGTGGAAATAGTTATATCTGTTAGACAATGTTAGATCAGGACTGGCCAGGGTGATGTGAAAATGAAAGTGTTGGACCCCTAGACTGGGGTACCCAACGTTCACGGGAGGTCGCACCCCAATAACTCAGTCCTCAAATCAGAAGATGTAACAAGCATAAGGATTTATTGGCGTTTTGCAAAACGGACTCCCACCTCACTCGGAGGACAGGAGTCCAGAGCCCAGTTCACAGGTTTCTTTTAAAGACAAGCGGCGGCTATGTGCCAAGCAGAAAGGCGGTGGCTATGTGCCAAGCAGAGGTAGGGGGAATTTCTGGGATGATTTCCAACTTGGGCAGAGGAGCATGAAAAAGGTCAGCTCAGCTTGTTCTTAGCGTTCAGAATTATTTTTCATTTTTATTTTTTTGTACAGTTTTTTTCAGGCCTGGGGGATTTTAGTTTAAATCCATTATTCTGGGGGCTTTGGATCCATCAAAAGATGAGACCAATCTCAGAAGCAGATTGTTCTTTATTAACAGCAATGAAAATGGCAACAGTATCTCCTTGGGATTTGAAACTATGTGCTCAGGCACAGTTGGTGGGCTGCTTATAAAGGATGGGGGATTGGGAAAGATGGTGGAGGGGGAGGTAGGGCTTTTTTTGTAGTTCAATGTAAATGCCAGTAACACGGTTTGGAGGTTTGAGACAATAGGGACTGACATTTGTTTTCCCCAGATAACATAGTCTCTGGGTTGGGGGTTTAACACAGTTCTTGGGTTAGATATTAGCTCAAATCTGAGGTTATCTGAGGTTTACTTAACCCAGTATGAGGTCCTTTTAAGTCCAGACATGTACTCTTCAACATCTATTCCCCCATTTCATCTTCTAAACGATGTTAGGGTTATCTCTTCAGAAGGGGGAATATTACAGTAGACTTGGATATCTGGGCTTTGTTGAGGCTTATCAAAGTAAAGATACTTCTTCCTGGTCCAAAAAAATGAAATCTAAGTTCTATCTCTGACCCAGGGTACAGACCTAACATTCCAAGCTACCCAAAACATAAGTTAGTCCAGTTGGGCCTGTCAATCACCTGGTAGAGACCACCCTTCAGGAAGGTCGAATCACCTTAAGCCATGCTAAAGAAATGGGAGAAATAATAATGTCCTTAATGAGATAACGTGCTTTTACTTCCCACAAACCCCACCCTTGGTGCAGCCACTTGCAAGCAGCCAGGGGGCTAAGCTTGCCTGCTTTTCTGAATTATGCAGAAATATTTAACGTTTCCTTTTTTTTTCTAAATACTGGGCATAGCCTGGACGTGCTTTTCTTAATACACTGGACTTTTTTTTTTCCCTCTGAAGCTACACCTCTAATTCCACCCATGTGGTTATGATGTTCTCTATCCTCTTCTCCATCCTCCTCCTCTGGGCAGCTGCTGAGATTTACATTTTGCCTGCCCTAGTATTTTTCTTTTAAACTTTAATAAGATTGTCCTTAAGCTTTCTTATGTGTCTGTTCTAATTTTGTTAAGGAGATTAGGAATCCTGAGAAGGGACCCCAATTTTCCTGTGGCAATGCCAGGTGAGACTGAGGCAGGCAAAAGCTGGGACCCCCATTCAGTTTTGGGTTTTGCACCCATGCCCGCTCTTCTAATAATGCACTTGGCAATCTAGTTCCATCATTGCACACACTATGCATGCACACCCCTCTCCAAACAATGCACCTAGCAGCAATTGTACCCCTCATATCCCTGTCCCATATCAGGCTACAGGAACTTCCATCTCTGAACAATAATATAAATTTTCCCACCCTCTGATAATAATCAAACTTAGTGTCTATTCAAGTGTATTCCCAATGTATCCAGGTATGAAGAAGAGTAGGAAGAATCTGGCCTGAAATAGTTCTGGGTGTATGCCTTGTAAACCAAAACTGTATCCTCTGGTAACCTTTTAGGGAGAGTCCCTTATTTACCATCTTATGACTATGCATAATTGGGGAGGCATATGACTAAAATCAGATACATTATGGGAAGGGGCATTCCCAGTAAGAAAAATGAATATATGACCTAATCTATCAATCAAAATAGAGACTCACCCAAATTTCAGCCCTGATTACTATCAGCTCCTCCTTCCTTTAGACCCCATAAAAGGAAATCGCCGCAGCAAAGGACCTCTGAGTATTCTCTTAGTTTCGTTAATAACAGAATTTAAGAACTGACTGAAATGGAAGCTTAAGGATAGTTTTGCTAGAGTTTAAAAGAAAAAATCTTCAGGGCAAGCAAACTAAATCTCAGCAGCGGCTCAATAAAGAAAAATGGAAGACAGAAGGGAGGAGAAAGACCATGCTCATTAAGTCATCATGGCAGTCAGACACTAGGCAGCTAACTAGCCACATGGCAAAGAAGAGCGCTTTAAAGAAAGAGTAAAGAATTCAAATTGTTGAAGAAGCCCAGAGTGTTAGAGAAAGCATGGCTAGAAAAGAAATTAGAAGAAAAGAAAATCGGGCAGACTTATGAAGTTGCATGTCTATGGCCCAATGAGCTACTGAACCAAGAAGCAGAGGTTCCAGATAGGAAAAGTTCACCATCTGGTTAACATATCAGTTACTCTGTTTATCTCTTTAACTTTGCTTAAGGAGAACCCACTTTCCTAGAGGTCGTCTCATGTCCAGGTCATTGACCTGGCCCAAATGTAGTACTGAGTCTCCATCCAGTCCAGTTTCACAGTTACTTACCTTGGATTCAGGAGCTACAGTCTGACGGATAAACATCTGTGACAAGAGTCAAGTCCACCCCTGGAACTGGAGTCATGGACAGTTGTTAGCTGCCATATGGGTGCTGGGATTCGAACCCCGGGTCTTCTGTAAGAACAGTTAGTGTTATTAACCACTGAGCCATCTCTCCAGCCCGACAGTCTCTTCTGTCCTCCATGTGCATTGCACAACACAGGCGCACTTACCTACATGCAGGCAATACACACATACACATAAAATAAAATAAATAAAATATATTTTTTAAAAAACCTTAGGAATGTATTAACAAAGCCTTAGTTCCGCCAACCCAAAGGCTAAGAATACTGTCAGATAGCATCTGAGGCTTATAGCTGAAATTTCTCTTCTGCTGTAG